CCTGACCTCCACATTCGTGTTGTGGCATGCATACATTCACAGTCCCACCCAACCATCCACCAACACACACACACGCACACACACAAATAAGTAAATGAGATTTTTTTTTTTTTTGGATTTTTCGAGACAGGGTTTCTCCGTAGCTTTTGGTTCCTGTCCTGGAACTAGCTCTTGTAGACCAGGCTGGCCTCGAACTCACAGAGATCCGCCTGTCTCTGCCTCCCGAGTGCTGGGATTAAAGGCGTGCGCCACCACCGCCCGGCTGTAAATGAGATTTTAAAAGGGTTTTTTGGTTTGTTTTGTTTGGAGACAAAGTCTTACTTCTGCCTCCCAAGTACTGGGATTAAAGGTACACACATCACCATGTCTTGTAAAATTTTACAAAAAGAAATCCCTTGCATAGAAGCCTTGGGCTCAATTTAAAATAAAGTGCAAGGCCACAGGTTCCCTATGCTGGCCTCAAACTATGCAGCTGAAAATTACATTGAATTTCTATCCTCATGCCTCTGCCTCCTGAGTTAGGAGGTTACAGGAACATACCACCATCCGGTTTATATGACATGGGTCCATGGGCTCTCTGCATACTAGGCATGCCCTCCACCAACTAAACCGAATCTTGGATCCTCTTAGTCCAATTTTACATCTGAACAGAAGAAACCCACGCCGGGTGTGGTGGTGCACACCTTTAATTTCATGGATCCGGGGGCAGAGGCAGGTGGATCTCGGTGAGTCTGAGACCAGCCTGATCTACGGAGTGAGTTACAGGACAGCCAGGACTACATAGAGAAACCCTGTCTCAACAAACAAACAAGCAAACAAAACAAAACAAAAGTAGATGCAAAGGTGTCTGTTTCTCTCACACAGTCCACAAAAATAGTGACAGAATTCACAGAAATACCCTTAGCAGATGAGAAAACCCAGGCCTGGGGGACAGAGTTCTCAATACCAGGAAGGCAGAGGAACAAAGAAGGGCCTAGACAGTTTCAGAGTCGCACAGGGAACTAGTTGAGGAGACAGACAGACTTGGAGGTACTGGTTGGGCCACTCTGGGTTCCGGAGAGGCATCAAATACAGAGACAGGGTTATACAGCATTTTCTGCTCCGGTATACTCAGCAGAGGGTCAGGACTTTTGTACCACACCCCAGTCCCCTGACCTGCTTGGGGAAATGAAAAGTTTGCAGGAGCCCAGCAAGGCTGAGTTGGAGGATTCCTGGGGTCCACACTCCTTCCCAGCAGGGGACCAGCGAGTACCTTTGGGGTTTTAGTTTTCTCTGCTGGGGGACGGGGGAGGTCTATAATAAAGGTCCTAGAAACTTCAGCAAAGAACGCTGTGCCCTTCCAGCCCCGCAGTAACTCCAAGGAGCCGAGTCCCACTTCCTGCAAGGTCCCCAGTGCTGGACACTTACCTCTGCTCCCGGGTAGTGCGCCCAGGGCTGTGCGCCTGGGAACACTGCACAGCTGCTACGCGGGCGGGGCTGGCTGAAGGTGGCAGGCCTGGGGGCGGGCCCGCTAGGCGGAGTGCAGGCGAACGCCAGCAATTGCCCCCTCCTCCTCCCAGCCGCTGTTGCCAGCCTGTGCCACCCGCCGTGGCACCGGAGAGCGCCCTAGCGGCGACTGGTACCAGCAAGTCCTAGCTTCTCCCTCGGGACCCCTCCCAGGGACACTCGGGGTGGGAGGGTCCAGAATCGCGGGGAAGGGAGGGCCTTTCCAAGTGAATTACTCCCCTATTCCAATTAAGGGGTTCAGTCTGTCCTCTGATACCTGGACTCCTGATCCTGTATCCCAAAGACACCTTAAGGGCGCAGTACCTGAGCGACGCAATTTATGAGATACTTTGAGTGGGCGTGACCGCAGCAATCTTCAGTCCTCACCGGAGCGGACAAGTCTCTGCTCTGGCAGCACAGGCCCCTACCCCATTTTCTCAAGGGGCTAGAGAGGTAGGGACGGGTGCAAGCCAGATGACGATGGGGGAACTTCCAGGTCCCCAAATAAGTAAGATCTGATTCCTCCCGCCCTGCAGCTTCTCTGTCCCGGCCGCATTTCTCTGAACCTTTAAATCTCAACCACAGGATAAAGCATTTGCTGTGTTTTGGGAGACAGGGATTTTTGTTTTGTTTTTTGAGTCAGGGTTTCTCTCTCAGTAGCCCTGGGTGTCCTGGAACTCGCTTTGTAGAGCAGGCTGGCCTCGAACTTAGATCCTTCTGCTTCTGCCCCCCAAGTGCTGGAATTAAAGGCATGTGCCCCCACCGCCCGACTGGGGACAGGAATTTGACGTTGTCTTGAGTACTTTTGAATAAGTAAGGTAATGAATGGATGTCTATTTGCAGTGTCTTCCCTGAGGTCTATTTTTAAATTTCTTAAAATTACACTTATTTATGTATTTTGTGTGTGTGTGCATATGTGTATCATGTCACATGTCATATGTGTGGCGATCAGAGGACAACTTGTCGAAATTGGTTTTCTTCTTCCTCTGCTGGTTAAGTCCCCAGGATTGAACTCAGGTTGTTGGGCTTAGCAGCAAAAGCCTTTCCGCTCCGCTCCGAGGCATCTCTCTGGCGTCTTTCAGAGCTCCTTCGTACGTTGCTCTCTGTCTCTCTTCCTCCCTCTCAGTGTCGCTTTCCCACGCCTCTCACGGACCTCTTCTCCAGCAGGCTAGCCTCAGCTGGCTCTACACCCCAACCGCCTTTAATTCCCAAGACGTTCCCGCCAGGGCCCAGCTCTACAAGTCTCAGACCAGCGGCCACAGTCTGGTTTCCGGTGTCTGTTTGAGTGACCTTCCTGGGACCATACCCTTTGCCCAGGGTCACTCCAGCCTCAACTGGTCAGATGTCGGGGACCCCGTGAGAGGTGAGCACAGTTGTTCCCGGTGGGAGGAATCTCGAGAAGTCCCAGACCAGGTTGTGCCTCTGGTGAACCCCCTTGAAGAGGTCTCGAGTCCGGCCCCCTAATGTAGCCCTTTGGGGATTTTTTAGCTTCAGACCCAGCTGTTCCCAGCGGGCAGAACCGCTCTTTCCAGTTTTAACCAATCGAAACCACCCACTCAGGCAGCATAGCCAATAGGATGATTGGGGCCGGACCTTAGGTGCCAGGTTGTTCACAACTCCAAGGCCCAGGCTTTTCTCTGGGTGCCTGGGAAATGAGCCCCCGGGTCTTGCCTGGTAACCAGCAGGCGCTCAACAAATGGTTTTCTTTATCGGAGGGGAAGCAGTGTGGGAGGTGGCTGCTTCACACCTCCCAGGCGACAATATCACCTCCTGTGAGTTCTGCCAAGCACTGAGAATTTTCAGAACCGCCACTGGCCATAGCTCCCAGACCCAGCGGCCTCCGCTCCTGCAGGCTCCTGGTTTTCTTTTCTACAGACTGTGACTGCGGGACTCATCCTGCTGCGACCTGGACAGATGTCACGAGTTCCCTGGACCACCCATGCTTCTGTCCCTCACTTCACACACTGCTGCTGGGATTTTTCCCTCACCTGCTCCAAAGCCTGCCATGACTCCCTAAGTCTCTCCAACTAAGTAGCCCACTCAGCCCCACTTCCTGACAGCTACATTCTTAGTTCCAGCCCTACTAATGGCTTCCTTATTCTTCAAGGAGCCTGGGCCAGTGAGATAGTTCAGCCAGATAAAGCACTTGCTGTGGGTCTGCCAGGTGGCTCAGCCGGCTACCACACCTGATGACCCGAGTCTGATCCTGGGAAGAAGAGCCAGCTCCCCAGAGGTATCACATGACCTCCACAAGAGCACCGTGATGCTGGGGTACCTGCATACACACGCGCATACGCACACTCATCTCTCACACACTCCTCCCAGATGCGTGCACACTTGTCTCACACGCACACTAAATTCTAACACGTAAAAGAATAAAACAAAAGCAGAACTTTAGAATCGGTCAGCACTGTTTCCTGAGTGCACCTCCTCACACGGGCCTTTTATAATTTAACCAAGAGGAGGACCGGCAAAACGTTTAGAATATGAAGTCAGTCGCTTCGAGGCTGCTGAACAGAGATTTTCCAGGGTTCGCTACCGGACATTGATTGTGTCTAAGTTCTGTAATGTTGATCGTGGGTACTATTTGTCACCATTGTATCTCAGAGAGGAATTCGGAAGGGCGATAACCGCACCCCAGGCATCCACAACACCGCACCCAGTCCCCACTGCCACCCACAGGTACAGCTAGAATCCAGCCCTGGCCCCCACACTCCTGCCACAGCCTGCCCCCAGGCTTGTCTAGGCCACTCACCTGCCCAGCCTGTTCTGCAGCAGATCCTCAGGCACAAAGGCTGCCACGCCCATGCTGTGCCCACTCTCTGGGAGGCAGGGCTGTGCCTCACCAAGGGGCAGAAATGTGCTCCCCCTCAGACCACCGACAGCCTGCATCAGAGTCAGAGGGACATGAGGGGCCGCTGATTCTAACTCTTCCCCTGCCTTCTTCAGGCTCAATGTGAACACGGCAACAAGTGTGACCTGAGTTTCACAGAACCAGAGCTCAAAGATGCTAGAGGAACACTCAGGAGCACTAACCCAAAGTCTACTCTCAAGCGCGGACTCCTTAGCTCAATGCCTTTCCCTCAGATGGCAGGGGATTATTGTCGTTTGTTTCTCTTTGATTTAGTTGGTGTTTTTCTGAGGAAGGGACATGCACACCTCTGCACCGCATTTGCCTGTGGGCATCAGAGGCCAATTCTCTGGAGTGGCTCTCCTCCCATGTGGGTTCTGGGAGCCCAACTCAGGTTGTCAGGTTTGATGACAAATTCCTTTACCCACTGAGCCATGTTGCTTTTCCAGGACTTTTGTTTTGGGAGACAAGCTCTCATGTAGCCTAGGCTGCCCCAATTCTGGATCCTGTTGCCTCCACTTCCCAGCTCTGGGATGACAGGCATTTTCTGTTCTGAAGCTGGAACAACACAGGACTCTGTGCAAGACAGACAAGCATTCTGCCAAGTGAGGTCCAGCGCCAGCCCTGCTGGAGTTTGCTTCTTCCTAGGGGTCCCCTGTGGTCTCTAAGACCAGTGTGGAGGTGAGGACAAGATAGCATGGTGCTGAGGGACACACCTTCTCCAAGATGCTGGGTGAGTCTGAGGAATGACTCCACCCCTCTGCTCTCGCCTGTCCCTCCTCAGGCTTGTAGAACTCTGCAGAGGAAAATCTAAGCTCACCTACCTACAAGAGCCCTCCTATACAGCTCAGGTATGTTTCAAAACAAAAGCCAAGCACTTGTGTGGAGAAGAAGCCCTGATCGTTTCCTCCCGGTGACCCCTTGAGCCCCCTTCCCTCTCAAGTACTAGATTTGGAAGCCTGGCATCAGCCTTCTCATTCCCTCTGTCACATTTGTTCTGCAGGCTAGGAGAGAAAGGGGGAGGAACGGACAATCATGCAAAAGCCTTGGACCAGCACATTCAAAAGCCTGCGGGCTGGAAAGCACCTACAGTAAAAGACACTGAATTCACTTGGCATGGTGTGAGATCGGCTGAGGGCAAGGATGGAACAGGGAGGATGGAGGTGGGACAAGAATCAGGTCTGGCAGGGCCTTGAATACCAGGCCTAAGAGGTGTGACTACCTCCTCACTGTGTGGCTGGGCACTGCTTGCTCAACCTCTCTGACCTCAGTTTGTTCACCCCTGAAATGGAGACACAAGAGTGGTTTTATCTGACAGTGCTCACTGGTACCTTAATCCCAATCCTGTCAGTGAGAGGGGAGCAGAAAGGCGGGGTTTAAGACCAGCTTGTGCTCTGTACCAAGACCTTGTTAGAAAATAGATTTTCCGCCCTCCTCAGCCAAAAGTAAAATCGGACTCTCAGGGGTGCGGCCGTAGCACAGTGAGCAGAATGCTTGCCCTGGGTGCCACCCCCAGCACCACAGGAGCCTGGCATGGTGCAGCATGCTCGTGATCCCATCCCTTCTAAGACGGAGGCAGGAGAATCAGAAGCTCAAGGTCATTTTCAACTCAAAAGAAGCATGAGACCAGCCAAGACACATGAAATCCTGTATCAAAAAAAAAAAAAACAAAACAAAACAAAAAAAACAACAAAGGGGCCTGGTGTGGTGGCAAATGCCTTTAGTCCCAACACTCAAGAGACAAAAGCAGGCGGATCTGTGAGTTCAAGTCCAGTCTGGTCTACATGGCAAGTTCCAGGACGAAACAGTGAGTCTTGTCTAAAATAAAAAGTACTAAAGGGGCTGTAAGGATGGCTCATCAGGGGGCTGGAGAGATGGCTCAGTGGTTAAGAGCACTTACTGCTCTTCTAGAGGACCTGGGTTCAAGTCCTAGCACCCACATGGCCGCTCACAACTGTCTGTAACTCTAAGATCTGACATCCTCACACAGACATACATGTAGCAAAACACCAATGCAAATAAAATAAAGATAAATTTTATATAGATAGATAGATAGATAGATAGATGGCTCAGCAGTCAAAGGCACTTGTTTCTACTGCGGAAGGCCCATATTCGGTTCCCAACAGAAATGGTGGGGTGGCTTACAACCTCCTTTAACTCCAGCTCCAGGGGATCAGATGCCCTCCTCTAGACTCTGCATGCGCTGTACCCATGTGTACAGACTCGGGCACATAGACACACGCAAATACAGATAAATAAAAACAAATCTTTAGCCAGGTATGGTGTCACACACCTTTAATCCCAGCACTCGGGAGGCAGAGGCAGGCAGATCTCTGTGAGTTCGAGGCCAGCCTGGTCTACAGAGCTAGTTCCAGGACAGGCTCCAAAACCACAGAGAAACCCGGTCTCGAGTAAACAAAAAACAAAACAAAACAAACAAATGTTTCCAGTCAAGCCTGATGACCTGAGTTTGATTCCTAGGATCCACATGGTGGAGGGAGAGAACTGGCTCCTGCAAGGTGTCCTCTGACCTCCACATGTGGATGTGCTGTGGCACAGATGAACTTTACATACGTGCATCTACACACAGATATTATATATATATATATATATATATATATATATATATATACACATTTTATATATGTGTGTAGTTCTGCCTGTCTTGGAACTCACTTTGTAGACCAGGCTGACCTCAAACTCAGAGAACTGCTTGTCTCTGTTTCTCAAGTGCTGGATTAAAGGCGTGCGCCACCCCACCCTGGATAGAGTGTATCAGCTCTGAGATGATAGAATTTACATACTGAAAAAAAAGAATTTACCTACTGTAAAATTCTAGGTCAAATGTGATGGTGCACTTCTGCTATTCCAACACTCAGCATTCAGAAGGTAGAGACAGAAGAATCAGGAGTTCAAGGACATCCTCAGAGTTACCCTGAAGTTTGTGGGGCGGTAAAATAATCAATTTATTATCTTATTATAATCATGTACTGGGAATGAAGTGATATCTCACTGCTTTGAGCAGTTCCTATCTTCATTAATTTTTTTTATCATGATGTAGCCCAGACTGATCTCAGACTCACAGAGATCCTCCTACTTCTGCCTTCTATGTAGACCAGGTTAGCCTCCAACTTGAGGCAATCCTCCTGCTTTTGCCTCCCAGTTGTTGAGTTGAGAGGCACGTTCCACTGTCTCTGCCATGCTGCCCAAGGTGTCCCGGAAGCCCCAATTGTGCCTCAGCCGTCGGGGTAGCCAGGATGACAGGAGCGCGGCAGGTGCCTGGAACTTATTGATCGCTGATCACACCTTGCAGTCACCATTTTCCCTGCCCTTGCTCCATTCACAACCCTCTGTAGCTCCCTACTGCCCTCTGATGCTGTTCAAGCCGCGAAGCCATTGGCATCTGGCTCTAGTCCTTGGGCCCCAATACTGGCAGCTTCTGCTGCTTTACCTTTGAACCTGTGGCCTGCTTCTCCTCATCTTCAAAACCCCCAGGAGCCTGGGGTCAGACAGGCAGGTCAGAGTTGGAGTCCTGGCTGCAGCTGTCTGGTGTGTGTAGGTGGAAGGGGTGCTTTCATTTGTGAGCTTCGGTTTCCTCATTAGGTTTTGATTTTTGAGACAAGTTCTCATCTTATAGCACATACTGGCTTGGGACTTGCTATGTTCAAGGCTGGTCTTGAACTCAGGGAGATCCACCTGCTGCCTCTGCCCCACAAGTCCTGGGATTAAAAGTGTGCACCACCACAGCTGGCTGCTTTTAAAGTTTTTTGTTTTTTGGTAAGTGTGTGGATATTTTGCCTGTATATTTGTGCACCAAGTGCATGCCTGGTGCCCACAGGAGCCAGAAGAGGGCACTAGAAACCCTTCAGTTGTAGATGGTTGAGAACCACAACATGTGTACTGGGAATCGAACCTAGGTTCTCAGGAAGAACATACAGCAGCTATTGCCTTTGCTTTGGTTTTTGTTTGTTTGTTTGTTTTGTTTTGTGACTTGATTTCTCTGTGTTTAGTCCTGGCTGTCCTGGAACTCTGTAAACCAGGCTGGCCTCAAACTCAAGGGTTTCACTTGCCTCTGCCTCATGCTGGGATTAAGGGCTGTGCCACAACTTCCTGTACTTTTTTTAATGATTTACTTATTTTTATTTTACATGCATCGGTGTTTTGCCTACATGTATGCCTGTGTGAGGGTGTCAGAGCCTCTGAAACTGAAGTTACAGACAGTTGCTAGCTGCCATGTGGGGGCTAGGCATTAAACCAGGGTTCTCTGGAAGAGCAGTCAGTGCTCTTAACCACTGAGTCATCTCCCCAGTCCCCACTTGAACTTGCTTTTAAAGATTAAAAAAAAGTGGGGGCTAAAACAATAGCTCAACATTTAGCACCACTGGAGTGCTTCCTGAGGGCCCAGGTTCATTTCCCAGCAGCACCCACATGACGGCTCACAACCATTTGTAACTTAATTCCCAGGGTCCCCAAGGTACCAGGCATGCAGACAGACATGCAAACAAACGTTCATACAGATAAAATAAATATCACTGTCACTGCGCAGTGGTGGCGCACGTCTTTAATACCAGCACTTGCGAGGCAGAGACAGGCAGATCTCTGTGAGTTCAAAGCCAGCCTGGTCTACAGAGTTGAGTTCCAGGACAGGCTCCAAAAAGCTACAGAGAAACCCTGTCTGGAAAAGCCAACCAACCAACCAACCAACCAAACAAACAAAAAATCCACCTGTTGTAAACAACCTATCAGCTGGAGTAGGGGAAAACAGGCTACTCTGATTGGCCAGGCTGAACAGGCTGGGGTTGAGCTCTTCTCAAGGTTGGTGAGTGCCTCTGTGGGCCCTAAGAAGTCCTCAAATGATAGTAAATTGCCTCTCTGGCATCTGAGCTAAAAAGCCCATAGGCTCTGGAAGGTCAGAAGTGCAGGCAGGGGTTGGTTGGGTTTGAGATGCCTTCCAGACATCACGTGGTTCTTCTGAGTCACTGACCCGAAACAAGCACACACTTGATGACTTGGTGTCTCATATTGTTTTTATTGCTTTTATGAAAACATAATTCCATATCCCTTTGTGGAATACAATTGAGAATTATAATTAATATGAGGTATCATTTTCCTACCGGGAGCTACCTGGCCTCCCTCCGCTTCCTGCCTCGACTTGACTTTCCATTGCATTTCTAGCTGTACAACTCAACTCTGTTTTCTTTTCTTTTTTTTGGCTTTTTTTTCTTTTTTCTTTCTTTCTTTCTTTCTTTCTTTCTTTCTTTCTTTCTTTCTCCTTCTTTTTCTTTAATTATTATGTATACAGTGCTCTGCTTGAATGTTTGCCTGCAGGACAGAAGAGGGCACCAGATCTCATTACAGATGGTTGTGAGCCATGAAGTGGTTGCTGGGAATTGAACTCAGGACCTCTGAAAGAGCAGCCAGTGCTCTTAGCCGCTGAGCCATCTCTCCAGCCCCTGATTTTGTTTTTTTCAAGACAGGGTTTCTCTGTGTAGTCCTGGCTGTCCTGGAACTTCCTTTGTGGACCAGACTGGCCTCAAACTCAGAGATCCGCCTGCCTCTGCCTCCTGAGTCCTGAGACTAAAGTCGTGTCTGGCTAAGTTGGTGTTTTTGTGTTTCTTGGTTTATCTTTTTGCTTTGGTGAAGTAACTTTCACAGAACGTGAGAAGTAGTAGCAGTTTTGATTCATTCCATGTTGTGAAATGTTTTGCTTTGTTGGTCTTGACACTGAGTCTATGCTGTGTGTATGAGTATGCACCCATAACTGCCCCCGGCCCCAGGGAAGATGCCAACGATCCTGCTCAGCTGCCTTGTTCCTGAATCTGGTGTCCAGCAAACCCCAGAGTTTCCCACAGCACTGGGGTTCCAGGCACACTGGCCACACCCAGCTTTGCATGTGGGCGCTTGGGACTCAGGTTTTCATGCTTGCACATCGAACGTTCTTACCTGTGTGTGCGTGTGAAATGGAACATGTGTGAAGGTCACGGAACATTCGGAGGTCCCTTCTATCCTTCTGCCATGAGGGTCCTGCGGCTCAGACTCAGATATTACATTGGCAGCAAGCAGCTTTACCCACTGAGGCGCACTGAAGGCCCTGTTTCTCCAGTCCTGACAAAGGAGGCAGTGAGTTTGTTTTGAGACAGGGCTCA